ATATTTGAATCAAAAGTGTGAAAAAAAATTCCAATAATTCATAAATTTTTTAATAACAAATCAAATTTTTAGTAATTTATTTTTAAATTGCCGCTATGAATATTTTTATCGGTTTTAAAAAAAATATTAACATATTAAATTTTTTGATAAATCCAATATATCCCTTATTTCTTCGAATTTTTTAAAATTTTGATAATTCATATTCAATAAACAAAAATAATTGTCTATGCTATCAAAAGTTTTAAAAAGTATAATATAGTTTACCAGAAATTTCATAATTTCAAATAGTGTAATATTTTTTTTAAATTTTTTTATCAAAAATTCCGATATTTCTTCAATTTTTCTCTCTTCTAAAATCGTTGATTTTTTTATCGGAAAAGTTCCAATTTTTTTAAAAATTCCAATAAACGCATTAAAAAATCCCAAAGAAAGTGCCATTTTATAACTGGGGTGAAATCCTATCTAACCGAAGGTCTGAAATAGGGCTACGTTAATACAAAGTCTTTTCTTTCAACTTTATCCATATCTCTATCTAAATAACAACTGCTTCATTTCACTGGAAAGAACTTCTCATGCACAAATTCATCTTCTCCAAAATGAAAACACACTGCCACACAGTACAATTACTTTAGTATTATGGTATCTTCTTACTTCACCAATGGAATCCACAAAGACTATGTTTTGTTCGTCTCCACTTTTTACTCCAAGAATTCACCCCCGGAACACTCTTCCTTCATCTTCTTATACTTCTGGTAATTCTCTTAATTTCAATTTCAATTACATTTGTTTTCCTTTATCTCTATCTTGTGTGTCATGTTATCTTAAAGCAGAATTAGTTATACTAAATTGCTGTCATGTAATGTAATATACATTGCACATTTTCAGCATAATCCTTTTGAAGTTCCAGTCTTGTTTTTTTAACCTTATCCATAATTTTGAAATTGGAGTCGTTTCGATGTGGAATGAGTTGTTGGTGAGCGGTGAAGTAGATTCTGGGTACAGTGCGATGGAGAGGGGCTGACGGTAAGGTTAACACTCCAACGGTCAAGTGAGCCATAGAATGAAAAGTGACGTGAGAGTGAAAATTGATTTGATTATCTAAGACGTGTGTTCTCTCTCATGTATAGTGGGAGCAGTTAAAACTGTTTGCGAGGGGTGTAGCGTCTTGCGCGGACAACTGTCTGATTGAAATGGACGGTTGGTAATGCTTTGGGGGGCGGAGTTGTCTGCTTTAGGTTAGAATTGGGGAATACCTGTTCCCCGCGTTCGCTGTCTCTGGGCCTTGTCTTGGGCTTTGTGAGCGGCCTCAAACAGAGCGTTAGTAACTTTGTATTCATCTTGTATTTGTAATTGTACTATATTCATGTATGTCTGGGCTAATTAGGATTTTCTTATTTCAATTTTAAGTTTTAACCAAGCAACCAATTGGATGAACTCAATTAGTTAACGAACTTCCGTTAGAGTCAAATTGATTGGGATTACCAGAGTTCGATCCCTAACCTAGAACAATATTTGATCAGACTTTGCTTAAAGAATTCAGAATTACCTGAATTGAAAATGTGTATAATGACTGTTCATAAACCTGCAGTTTTGATGCTCCGGGAACAAGTTGCGCCAACGGTCACATCATGGTGTACTAGCTTTTCGGCCCGGAATTTTCCTACTTCAGTTCTTTTACAAGATCAATGTAATGAGTATAGGCCTCTATTGCATATTTCAAAGAAAGACAAGACATGTCAGGTTTGAATTTTATTGATTTTCTCTCAATTATCAGACACAGGTTTCTTTCTTCATATTTCTTAGTCTGTTATCAAATCAAGTAGAAATAGAATTGTTTGATTGGTAGTACAAAACATACAAGATGATCAACTGAACTTCTCTAATGATTTTCGACTAATATGCTCCTACGACTCGGATTTACTTCAGGCAACATTAAATACAAGGCAGATGGATATGGTTTCGGTTCAAGAAGAGAGTGACACCGACAATGATGTTCAGGTGGCACATGACTTCAGGAAGCGCCTGCATCTCTTGCCTCGTTTAGAGAACATGTAAGATAAATAAACTTGTTCTTCCATGTTAGTTCAACCGGTTTGTAATTGATAACTAGAAATTGTTCCAATCCTAAGCTGTTGGTTTATGAATGTGCAAATGATATACTGCAGATTAACTTCCTCACGAGCAGGAGAAGCCGATGCTTCTTCAACTCTACAGAATGCAGATAGTTTGCAATGTAATGCAGTTTCTCTTACTAGGAAAGCTTTTCCTTCCTCAAAACAAGCAGCCTCGATAGCGGAAGACTTGAGTTTGATTAAAGCTGACGAGGATGCTGACAATTCAATTTCTTCTGGGTTAGTTCTATCTTCATGGCCAACTCTAACCTCCTTACTTTATTTTTCCTGTTTTTAGGCTAATTTCACTTGGAGTTTAATGCCTAAACGGCTAATTTCACTTGGAGTTTAATGCCTAAACTAAAAACTTCGCTTCAGTCTAGCCTCTGCCAGTTTGGCTGAACCTTCACTTGGAAGAAATAAAACCATAAGATCAACACGGCATCGAGAGAGACGGGCAAAAGAGAGAAAGGTACGGAAATCGAAAGTTAAAGTCAGCGAAACTTACCTTACCGGAAAGGATGCTGCACAGGAAAAACTTCATGTACAGAAGAAGATAAATAAAGGGTTGAATCAAAAAGATCCCTTGAACTTGTTCTTGCAGAGTCCTGAATCAAAACAACTTTTGACTTTTGAACAAGAGTCTCAGTTGGTTGTTCATATACAGGTGTGATTTCTGTTACAGAGTTTTGGGCTTCCTTAAATGAATGAGATTTCCTACTGATGCGGCATATTTAACAGGAGCTATTGAGATTGGAAGAATTGAAGACAAGTCTTCAATCTCAATTTGGAAGGGAGCTAACTATGGCGGAATGGGCTGAGGGTGCAGGGCTTAACATTCGGAAACTTAAGGCGCAACTTCGTCATGGTAACAGAAGCAGAGAAAAATTGATTCAAGCAAATTTACGCATTGTACACTACGTCGCTAAAGGTTTCCATGGACGCGGTCTCAGTCATGAGGACTTATTGCAGGTAGTTTTAGACATTCCATCACCCCATTATAGCAAGAGTTTGATTTTGATTTTGATTTAATGACATTGCGAAACAGATCACAACCAAGCGTATGCGTGACTTGAGGAATAATTATATCTTTTACATTTTTGTTCTCTGGTGCTGCTGCAGGAGGGAAGCACAGGTCTCATAAAGAGTGTTAAAAAGTTTAAACCCCTATCCGGGTCCCGATTTTCTACTTATGCATACTTCTGGATAAAACAAGCTATAAAGAAGGCAATATATCATCATTCCAGGATAATCCGTCTACCGGTAAATTTAGTTGTTTAAATATAATCTTCCTGCGTTTTATGTGATTGACAGGGAGTAAAAATTGTGTTTCTGTTGCATTGCGAGCATCAATTTTATTTCGATATAAGAAACCTTGTATTATTTTCAGCCGAGGGTATATCACACATTTACCAAGGTAATGGAGGCAAAGAAGTTGTACACGGAAGAGGGAAATGTTAACCCAAGCAAAGAAGAATTAGCAAGAAGGGTAGGAATTTCAGCAGGCAAGGTTGACCTTTTGCTATTTGTTGCAAGATCTCCAATTTCTATGCAGAAAACTGTGGGAGCTGACACAGATACAACTTTCCAGGTATTGTATGCTAGCTAATGTGATTTTCCAACTTGATAAGTTGTCGACTTTTGTGGCATTTCAGGAGTAGTGATCGAACTGAAGTTACTGTTTCTATGGCATGTGATTTTTGTTCACTTTTCGAAATAATTGAAATAATCAAAGAATTGACATTCTGTTGTTCCTTTTAGTTAAGAGTCTCGCATCGGACAATATATGATCTGAACATGTGCTTATAAAGTGGGGGCAATCCTCACCCTACAAGCCAGTTTTGTAGGGATGAGTTAGGCCCAACCCACAAGACTTTTCATTGATTGAAATGGTTGTTCCTTCTTTTATAGTGGGAAACAGTACTTAAGTTAGCTTTAATGTCTTTCAAAATTTTGTATTAGTAGTTTCAGTGTGATTCCAACATAGGAATTGGAATTGACTATCATTATTTTCTTATAACTGCAGGAAATTATTGCTGACACTGCAATCGAGAGCACGGACATGAGTGTTTCAAAACAGCTTATGAGACGACATGTGCACAACATTTTAAAAAAATTACGCCCTAACGAAAGAAGGGTAATTCGGCTAAGATTTGGTTTTGAGGATGGAGAACGGAAATCTTTTTCAGAAATCGGGGAAATATTAGGTTTCTCTAGGGAAAGGGCCCGTCAGGTTGAGAGTTTGGCTCACTACAAACTCAAGAAGCGTCTTGTTGGTCAAGAACTCGATGCCTATGCAAAATTGCTTATATAGAGAAAACACCAAGGTTATCAGTTTATATGGCCCAGTGTCAGATTTTGCTGGCTAGTTTTTTGAATTCTAGTTCCTAGATTGAGTTTTGAAAGGAGAATTTAACCATAAACTGCAGCAATTAAGGAAAAATCAGACGGTATAATGAGAACCATTAGGCTGGCAGTTGCAGAAGAAATCGAAGTATTAAACTGGCTGAGACTTATACAAATGAGAATATCTATACAAAAATATTTTAATGACGATTATTCCAAAAGCTAAACATTAAATAAATGGTATTTATATATATGTATAATGTGAATTTTGTATTCTTTTGATTGACTTTCACATTCCCTTTATGTTGCTTATGCTAAATGCTGTTATTGTAATATTTCTATCTGCATTTCATTTAGTTTCCTAAAATTATAGATTTCATTCATTTAAAGAATTTAGTGAACGACTGATGTTTAGTTTACGTAAACAAGTTTAAACCATGCATTACAAAGCTAAATACTATATCTGCTAAATATAATTTTATTGTTGATCTTCTTTAAACCACACTATTTCATTGTTGGAGGGAAAAGTGTGTAAAAAGTAAATCATCGAGGTTGAAAGTCAACAGAAAGATGAATTTCAGAAGCCTCGTTGATATAATATGCATGAAGAGGACGATCATGCACCATTTCAACATTGAGACGTCGAAGGGTGAAACTATCAAGAGGAATGCCCCAATATCTTGAAACTTTGCCTCGCAGGTCACTCACCATATTAGTCTCCCTCACCCTCACGTAGCCTTCGCTTCCACGTCCTAGAAACTTCACGAGAACGTGAAGCTTAAGATCTGGTGGTAGCGGATCGACAACGAGAGTAATGATTTCTGTTTCATCACCATGCAAGGCATATAATCCTATCCTTTTATCATTTTCCAACTCTATACCTTTGTACCAGAGATTTTGCCTGCATACTTCCACCTCCAACTCGTCATTGATTTTGCTTTTGAGATCAAAAACAAACTCTGTCATCGACATTTCTATCACAGGTTCTATCTCTCCGCCAATTATCTTAAAATTTACCATTCTCTAAGAGCTAAGTTTTGTTGTTCACTTTTCTACCGCAAATGAGTATAATTTATCAAAGGGAATTGTGAATTGCATGTGTTGATCACTTTGGCTACATTTTCAAGAGGTGTTGCATGCCAAATTGATTGGTTTAGCTTGTAAAAATTGAGAAGCTGAACTAACAAGGAGTCACAAACCTTGTGCTGTTAGAGTAATGTTGTGAACTTCGTGATATATTGATTGACATTTGATTTATGTGATTTTTGTTTTTGTGGTAAAATGACATGTGCTATCTATAAGTAATATAATACTCTTTTACATCAACACCATAAATAAATTTGTACTCTGATCCAAAAGTGCATAAATAACCAGTTAAGTACTAACTTTATCAAAGCTCAATTAAAATGTTTTTTTTAAAAGATCTTTCCAACTAAAAATTATCAACTTTATCATCAATAAAATTATTTAACTAACTTAAAATGCTATTTAATAGCATTATAAATACAAGACATAATATTATATTTAAAATAATGAGTAAATATTACAGTAACTTTGAAAAAAATATAAAAAAGGAAGTCTTTATTTCGGTTAGATTTAGATTTATTTTATTTTTGATTTTGTTAACACTTGGAAAACAGCATAATAAAAGACATAACAAATAAAAGAAATAAAAACTAATGTTAGGACGAGAATGAGGTAAATAAAGTAACTTACGAATTAAACTTATGAATTATGTTAGTTCAGTAAACATTTTAGCATGAGCACAATTTAAGTTTTGGCCTGGATCCATGGGTGTGAATGCTAGTTTTGCTGCAAGAATGCTATACTTTCTTTGACATAGAGATATCCCTTAAGAAGATCTAGCAACCTGAAATTTAATAAAGTATTTGAGATTGTCTAAATCTTATATGTTGAAAACTATATCAAGTGCATTTTTAATGTTTTAAATCTCAGTGATGTTGTTTCCTATATAAGTATCAAATCATCAATATATACAAATATTGCAGTAAAATAATTGTTAGTTCTCTTTATGAATAAGGAGTAATATGACTTGAACCGAATGAAGCCTAATTTAAGAGTGGATGCTAGCTTATGATTTCATTTTCTACTAGTTTGTTTGAGTTCATACATGGATCTATTAAGCTTGCAAACAAGGTTTTTGTCAAAGACTTTTAACCTGAGAAGGATTTTCACCTAGGTATGAAGAGTTGCTTGTTGTTAAGGTCAAACAAGATGTGTCCTTTGACCCCACATTTAGATTTCCTAAGTAAATACACTTGTTAGGTCTATGATCAAGCTTAGTTCTATTTCTTTTAGAACTAGAGACCTACACTAAATATCTAAACACTTTCAGACTAGCATAATTAGGATTGATGTGAAAAAAACAAATTAAAAGGTTTTTTTTGACAATGCGATTATTTTGAAGGAAGTCTATTGATTATAAAAATGACATGCAAAAGGGTGTGATCTCAAAAAAAATGTTTAGACAAATGGTATTGGAAAAAGAGAGCACTTGTTACTCTCAAGAGGTGTTGGCATTTTCTTTCAACAATACTATTATATTGAGTTGTGTCAATACAAAATGTTTGATAATGTATCCCATGAGTCATGTAATTTTTTTAAGAGTAAACTTAAAAGTGATTGTCATACCTTAGTATTTTGACATAGGTTAGAAGTTGAGTTTGACCATATGATATAAAAAATTTGATAAGATTAGAATTCTCAGATTTAAATCTCATAAGAAAAAGCCACAAAAAATTTTGGTGATCATCGATAACGCTTAAAAAATATCTATGCCCTAACATGAAATAAGTAGAAAAGGACTCCATATATCTACGTGTATGTGGTCAAAACTATTTAAAGAAGAAGATGTGATGTTAAAAAGAAGTTGTTGTGCTTAGCATAACATAAAAGAAAGCATTAATATCTTTAGACAAGTTATGCAAAGGAAAAATTATTAATGTGTGTGATAATATTCTAAAATAGGTTGATAAAACGTTTGTCCCACATGTTACAATTATTTATATTTGAGGTTCTAGAACTATGACTAATCCTAGTTGAATTATCGTTGGGAGTATAGAGAAAATGTGAGAAAATATAAGTCATGTTATTGAAGTTGAGTCATACCAATCATCTTCAGGGTATTGCTTCCCAATGTGTTACATTTAGTATAGTTAAACATAATGTTACAGTTAAGGAAACTAGCGATCTTAGAAATAGAAACATGTTTTGTACCAAATTCAGGTATGTATAAAACATCATTTAAATAAAAATTAGTACTAATAATTGCTCTATTAGGGAGCCTGGTGTGTATAGTCCTAATTTCGATTAGATGGGTAAATACATGTTTGGAATGACAGACGTGGTTTGTGGTCTCAGTGTCTAAAATCTAGCTAGCATATTTTCTAATAATGTATAGAGTGGACAAAATTAAGAGTATTTGAGGTCGATGTAAATGAGGTGTTAAGGTGATGAATGATGGATGATTGATGATGTGAGAATTGTTAAAGAATAGCAAGTAAGGCATGTTGTTGCTCAACAATGACTATAATAGGAGTTGCTCTAGGTGTGTCTTTAGGATAAGATTGATGTCTTGAATCCCAATGTGTTTAAAAGGCGATGATTGAGTTAGGTTTGTCTTCTTGAGATATGGAGGAAGCTCATGTTTCTTAAAGCACAATTCTATAGTGTTCCCTGGTTTTTAACAGTAGCTCATGTTTCGGTTGGAGCTTTTAGGATGATTTAGGTTTCTGTCGATAAGATCCTAATTTGTTTTTGGAATGAATGAAGATGTTGTGAATCAGATACCTTTAAACAAAGTATAAACAGTTTCTTAATGATCAAGAAACTCACAAGGGTCAGGGTTAATAAAGAAGACAAGGTAAAACAACAAGGAACAACAAGGATTGGTTATTAAACTGCTATTTTTTCCTTTCTCTTAGAACAAGATTACAAGTATACAAGAATAACAAAATAACCTCTCTCCCTTGAAATTAGGATTTTATCTTCCTATTTTTCCTTATGTCAAGATTGAGAAACTAGCATCCTATTTATAATAAAATAACACACTAACCTAATGGGCTTTTTAACAATTACCCATTACAAGCTAACTTAGGGTACAAGTTAACTTAAACAATTGGGCTTACAAGCAAGGCCCAATTCAACATGCTAATAAACCTAGCAATATTGACTAATGCATGTTAGAACAAACTTCGACTACAACACGCATTACTCGCGAACAGACTTCGACCATACTAGAGTTCGATCCAACATCTCACAAATCTCCACCTTGGATCTAACTCTATAACATCAAGAAACTAGCTTTCTTCATGCAGCTTTATTAACTGCATATAGTGGAAAAAACTTGCAACTGGGCAACGTCTTTTCTTTTTCCGTTAACGCAGCGTCCATGGCTGTCTCACCCTTCAACGCTTCCAAACAACTCTGCTGAACCAACAGGGCTTTCATCTTCAAGCGCCACAGACCGAAGTCGTTCACTCCGGTGAACTTTTCAATCTCATACTTTGTTGAAGGCATCTTCTCCACGCTCACCGCACCAATTTGTTGTGAATCGGATACCTTTAAACAAAGTATAAACAGTTTCTTAATGATCAAGAAACTCACAAGGGTTAGGGTTAATAAAGAAGACAAGGTAAAACAATAAGGAACAACAAGGATTGGTTATTAAACTGCTATTTTTTCCTTTCTCTTAGAACAAGATTACAAGTATACAAGAATAACAAAATAACCTCTCTCCCTTGAAATTAGGATTTTATCTTCCTATTTTTCCTTATGTCAAGATTGAGAAACTAGCATCCTATTTAAAATAAAATAACACACTAACCTAATGGGCTTTTTAACAATTACCCATTACAAGCTAACTTAGGGTACAAGTTAACTTAAACAATTGGGCTTACAAGCAAGGCCCAATTCAACATGCTAACAAACCTAGCAATATTGACTAATGCATGTTAGAACAAACTTCGACTACAACACGCATTACTCGCGAACAGACTTCGACCATACTAGAGTTCGATCCAACATCTCACAGAAGACTTTGATGGTTCATGACCATGCGTGATAATTGAGGTTGTTCAGAGATGAAGATCCAATGACGATTCTAGAAGTGTTGTTAGGATGCGTAAAAAAGAGGTCCAACCTATCTTTTTGATATGCATGGTTAGAGTTTTGATTTTGGACGATGAAAGTGAAGGGATCATTGGTGGAAGAAGTATTTGGGGATTGTGGTGGTGGCGCATGTGAATCGGTGACGATGACACCGTCATTGGTGTTCATCTTCAGAGAAGATGAAGATGAAGAGATACGTAAAATGTGGTTTTCAACGAGAGAGAAAGAAATAGATGAAATGAATATTGAATATTGATTTTGATACTAATAAAAATTTTCATTGGTAAAAGGGGACAACTTCTTTACCCAACACAAAAAGTTGCGTAATTTTGAAGGAAATCTATTGATTATAAAAATGACATGCGAAAGGGCGTGATCCCAAAAAAATGTTTAGACAAATGATATTGGAAAAAGAGAGCATGTGTTACTCTTAAGAGGTGTTGGCATTTTCTTTCAACACTACTATTATATTGAGGTGTGTCAATACAAAAGGTTTGATAATGTATCCCATGAGTCATGTAATTTTTTAAAGAGTAAACTTAAAGTCATTGTCATACCTTAGTATTTTGACATAGGTTAGAAATTGAGTTTGATCATATGATATAAAAAATTTGATAAGATTAGAATTCTCGGATTTAAATCTCATAAGAAAAAGCCACAAAAAATGTTGGTGATCATCAATAACGCTTAAAAAATATCTATGCCCTAACATGAAATAAGTAGAAAAGGACTCCATATATCTACGTGTATGTGGTCAAAACTATTTAAAGAAGAAGATGTGATGTCGTTAAAAAGAAGTTGTTGTGCTTAGCATAACATAAAAGAAAGCATCACATATGTTAATATCTTTAGACAAGTTATGCAAAGGAAAAATTATTAATGTGTGTGAT